TGGACAGATGAAGATATTTCCCTGTCCTATATCTTATCTAGATATGATTCTATCTATTAGTTTGTAAACTAGTTTTGATTTGGCAGATTCGTGTGAAGAGTTGTTAAACGTTCCTATTTCTAAGATGACACACACAATCGTTCTTTGTATTGGTTTATCTTGAATGAGTGGTGAAGTGACACCTTCTCCAGGATTTCTGTTCTAATATAATTATCAGCTTTCTCCATTAGCATGACAAGACATAGCTTTTTCCGTGAATAGAACTGAATTCTCTATTGAAATAATTTTTACATTTTTTGTACAAATAAAAATAAATATTTTTTTTGCTGTCATTTAATTAAAAATAGTAAAAATTATAAATTACTGCCATAAAACATAAAAAAAGATTTATTAATCATTAAATATTAATTTAATAACGAATTTATTATTACCAAAGTATATTTTAATTATAAATTACCTCACCGTCTTTAATTATATTATTTGTTAAATAATTTATATATAAATCTTTTCGTTATCAAATCGTTTATGAGCAATACTAATAATTATTAATGTTTATATACCTCACCATTATTTATCCATTCCCAAACCTACTTGGAACAATTAAAAATAAAAGGTTATAAACACCTTATTAAATTTTTTTATTGCAGGTAATAAAAAAATTAATTCTCATTACTGTTTTTTGAAATCGTGTATTTTTTAAGAACTATTACAATAATATAAAACAGAGTTGTCAGACAATTTTAAATACATTAATATATAGTAATAATAAAAACTCGTATTTATTAGTTTCAATTTTGATGTAAAATTAACAAAACTACATGTGGATAAAAACGTTTTTAACATTATGATCCGATAGCATTCCCGATTTCCCAAATTAAAGCATAATTTAAGAAAATTTAAATTTGCAGACTTAAATTCATTCGATAACATCAGGGCTTGTGTCACTCAGAATATTTCTGACAGAAGTATCGGCATTTTTACAACACGAAAAGTTTGACATGTTAGTGTTTTATTCAAAGTAATAATAATTCTGAAGCTGCAAGTGAATTATATAGACAACCTAATAATTCTATTTTCAAACGATTAAAAGAAAATCTCATAAATTATAGGACTTTAAAGAAACCAAGGATACAGAATTATAATATTGAAGATGCTGAGGAAGTCGTTTAATCTTAAATTATACTTCCTAGACCGGTCCTAATAGAACACACATGTAGATGTTTAAAGTACGGGAGCGATATTCTTCGATGCCCTTTTCTTAAGTTTTTAAAATAAATAGTCCTCCCTCCCTTTTTCTAAAATAATCTTAATAAGTACTCTACTAATAGAGGAAATGGAGGAAAAGCATAAACCATCATTGAAGGCCAATTTAAATTAAAGGCATCCACCACAAAAGATCCTGGATCCTTTTTCATGAGACATTTGGTATTTATCTAAGATGCAAATAATCTATATGAGAATCGCCAAATTTTAAAATTATTTTTGTAAAAACTTTATTATTTAAACTATATTTGGTTTCGATCGATTTTGATCTTGATTCACGGTGCGTCTCCGTGCTATTTAGAGATTTTATATAATAATAATAATACTCTCCCTAATTCATCCCCTTACGAGTGAATTTTAACCCCAAAAGCTGAGCTTGTGCGGGGAAAGGGACGACTATTATTATTATTATTATTATTATTATTATTATTATTATTATTATTATTATTTGCCGTGGCGCTCCGGGGCGACTTAAAGATGATTGATGGTGCCATTAGACTTACAGGTGAGGAAAACCTCACCCACCATCATCGAGACGGTAATGTATGGCAATAATAAATATATTTCTATTTTCACACCATCGCCATATCTATCTAGATAATTTAGAGAGGGATATGTGCGTAATGCCTCCCATTTCATTGCCATATGCAATAGCAGTCGTGTTATCTACTTTCGACGGTATAGAATAATAATTATTCTTTTCCGACCTAACAAAACATTTTAGTGCATTAAAAACAGCCAATAATCCTAAAATCAAATTATATGTCTCTTCTGTTGTTCATCCTAGAATCCGCGACAATCTTCACTCTTGCAGACTGTTCCCCAAGCATATTTAGACGCATCCGTATATATCTCAAGTTGATATTTCCTTGGCAACAGAGACTCATGTGAATCAGCTAAAACTTGTAGCCACCAAATCAGATTTTCCTTCTTTTAAAATAAATAGTGTACCCCAATGTCAAAAATTTTTCCTTTTCTAGGATTTTAGTGTATTACCATTTTTTCACCAACATTTCTTTTTTCCATTTTAACAAAATTCACTTTTAAAAATTTAATATCGAAGTGTACACTCACACACTAAAAAGTGTAAATGAAGTAAGGGTGATGTGATGGAACAGGAAATTGTTTTGTTTTCTTTAAAAATAGTGTACGCTTGCATAAAATGAAGAAACTACATGTGTGTTCTATTAGGACCGGACTAGGAAGTATAATGCATTTTTTGGTTTTAACTTCTGTCCCGTTTGAAAAGTTGGTCACCTTATCCTTGTATCATAATGTATGATTTTGTTAGAAAAAATTCAATAATCCAGACTTCCAAAGTATGTAACATTGTAAATGTGTTTTAGAAAAGATAAAACTTTAATGTTCCTTGCAGCCCATTATCGTTTTAAAATTCATTAAGAACCTTTAAATAAGCGAAAACCAACAGTGCGTAATTTGTCATCTCCGCCCATGCGAGCTGGTAGTTGGCCGAGTGGGCAGTACCCGAAGAGGAGCGAAATGAAAGAAACACACATGAACGACCATCGTCGTAAGCCAACACTGACTGATTTGTATACTTTGCAAATTGATTTTCCTTATCTGTTAATTCTCCACGATGGCATATTGATGATCTGCCGAGTTATTTATGAATGTTTCTTCGTGCATTTTCTTCCTTTTAGCCGATGATGGCGATCAATTACCGATGCATCTCGTATGTAATGTATGTTCTACCGTTGTTTTAGTTATTGCGGGTACTTCCACGCACTATTTTTTCCCGACTTTATTGCCGTGCTGAAACGAAGTGTGAAGATGTATGATATATGGCATAATTTACTGTAAGTTGCCAATGGATATTGTGTAGTGATATTGCGTAGTAAAATTGTACTTTCGATGTAGATCTGTAAATATACAGAGATCGGCTTTTACGATTGTGTAATTTGCTTTAAAGAGAATACATTATAAGTGTGGTTTTTTATTTAACACGTAAGGCAGAACAACTACAAAACTAAAACTAATAATACATTCACGATATGCTAGTTGAGATCAAGAACATTGAACAATAAGTGGTATTATTTACATGTTGCCTATAGAATTTCTTGACAATAAATCAACTCGTCTTACGGTAGTTGTGGCTCTTCATTCACTCCGTGTTTAAATAATTCTCATATCTACGTAAAGGGACATCCCACCCATATCACTGGAGTTTATAGTCCATCCCCGGGATCCAATTAAAAAGATATATCGAAAAAACATTGTATCACTAACCATAGATCTGGTATAACCACTACACGGAAAAAAAATTGTAGAACAAATTTCTACAATTGTAGATTTTTTCTCTACAATAAATAGTACAAATAGGGACAGGGACAATTTGTAGTAAAAATTTCCAAATATTTGTAGAGAATGTATTGTAGAGTTATTATCTACAATATTTAGTAAAAATATCCAAATGCATCATAAGAATTGTTCTACAAATTGTTCTAATTTTTGCTATTCAGTTTATGAATTTATATTAAAAATGTATTGCGTTTTATGAAAATAAATACGAAAATTTTACACAATAAATAGTAAACATTCATACAAATTGTAGTAATTTTTAATAAAACTTGTAGTAGTATTCCATAATTATTATAATTATAACCTAGAAAAAAATGTTCCTCAATAAAATATTCAATTTATTGTTTTAATATAAAAGATACAAAGTCTTAATTACATTATGTAATAAATAACAGTAATAATAGCACCCTCAGTCTCAGTTGGCTTTTCTGCACCTGAAAAATATGAAATAGAAATTAATAACAATTGAACTGTTCATACCCTTAAAACGGGGATATTTATCACCTTTACACTGATTTGGATATTAAATGACTAAGTCAGATAACTAACAAAAATGAGAAAGTAGGTATGTCACAATTAAGATAAAAAAACCTCATTGAATTTGGCAAAACATTCGATCGTTAGGCACAACTATTTTTTTTTAAATAATCTACTAAGGTTATTTAAATTAGTTATCTAAAGGTAAATTATTCAGAAACAATAATAAATGTACTTACCACCAATAGAATTTATTATTAAAATTTTCTCAAACGCATCGGTGCTTATAATATAATAATGTGTTATAGGTACTCGTATATGTCCATGATTTGTTATGTGAACATGGCGAACGGCTACTGCTGTCTGGCCATTTATGATCGACGTCAGAAAACGTTGGCCAATAGCAGAATTCTGTTTTGTTCACATAACTTAGAATTTCTACAATATTATAGAATATTTTTGAACAAAATTGAATATTTTTCATAAGAAGGGATGTAAATTATTACTATTTGTTGTAGAGAAAATTACTATTTTTTGTAGAGATAATTATTAATATTTGTACAAATTTTTTCAGAAGTTAGTAATAGTAATTACGATAATTGTAATAAATTTCTACTTCTACAAACAATAGTAAAATATACTAAACATTGTGGAATTCTTTCCTATTGTTGTAGCATTTTATTCGACAATTCAATTGCTACAATAATGAATAGTTTTTACCTATAAATTGTAGTAAAATTTTCTACAAATTGTTGAGTATTTTTCTACAAGTCTACTACTACAACATTGTAGTAAAATTTTCTAGTCACATTTTTTTCCGTGTATAAATTCATGATGACCGGATCGAACGGTACACCTATTAATTCACTCTGGAAAAATTGTAAGAGCAAAGTTGTTTAGGGCATTAAATGTATTAATTGTGATAAATGTTTTCATCCCAGTTGTGCAAAAATGAAAAATTTTAAAGTTGTTGCTGATAATTTGGTTATATGTTGTGAAAAAGTCGATCAAAATGCTGTGGAAAGTGATACCGCATTTTTTGATGCTTTGGAAGTATTTGCAGGCGACGATAATAAGGTAGATATTAATTTTGTAAGGTATATTGTCAAACAAAAAGATGAGTGATAAAATAAATATTTTTAACGAACAAATTGTTCTATTGAAGAGAATTCAATCAATTTATCCGACAAATTTAAAAATAGTTCTTCACCAAGTCAAAGGGATAAGATGAATACAATTATTAATTTAAGCACAAATGTATCCAAAAAGGAGGAAAATGAAATGGACCTTAACCGATCGGAAGCATCCTCAAAAAAAGATAGTGCTAGTATTGTTAAAGTGAATGATGCAAATAATTGGAACGTCGTTAACCGACGAAGAAAACATAATATTGTTGTAGGAAATAATACTATAAAAATTGTGAAAGGCGTACGTACCTAAACATGTAAGCCTACATGTTTTGTTTACAGAATTAATATCGACAATACCACTAATGATCTGGAATCTATTCTCATTAAAAATTTTCCGGAAGTTAAATGTGAAAAATTAAATTCGCAACGTCCTGAAATTTACTCTTCTTTTAAAGTTACAATATTGGAAAGTCATTTTAGAAATGATATGAATCCTGAATTATGGCCTCTATGAGCTTAAATTTCTAGAGGCGCAGGAAATCGGTCCACAATACACCTTAATGTTTAAACCAAATCTGCTTCTTAGACCAGAGCATACTGGCGCATTCGTTTGCAAAATTGTTTTAATTCGTAATTTTTTTTTTAAATGTCCGGAAGGCTTTCCTGATTATAAAAGTGTAATATGACACTCGATATTTGTTGATGTTATTGGTTAAACAACGAAAAATTAATTAAGCCAGAAAAAATGCATTTTTTGCAATTAATTAATTTTTTTTATATTCTTTAGGATATTTCGAATTAAAAATGTTCTTACGCCCATCATCGTATCTTCAACCCTTTAATTGTTATGAATTTTTTAAAATCCAAAATTGACGAAAATTCTAATTTTCTTGAATTAAATGATTTACCTTAAAATTTAAAATGCTATAATTAAAATTTTTTTATATATACCGAATATTCAAACTATAATAAACAAAATTACCTAAATAAATTTTCAAAATTTTGTTTGTTATGTTTTATTTTACGTTATAACAATATGCTATAAAATTCTATGACGCATAGTTTCTGAGATATCCTACAGCCTCCGATTGCTGGATATAATATAATTTTATACTATATTTAGCATACATTTATATTTTATATTTTTTAATAAAACTTTTTGTTCGTTTCAGGTAATGTACCTGTATATCAATATAATTTAAAAATAGTTTCGGGTAACGTATAAATCTATTTTTTATTTATATAATAATGTATTTACTCTTATACAACCAATTTGACATTTGTAAAGCTTACAACGGAAAAAACACCGTCGAATGAACATGTTTCAGCTTACGTACGTGAAATCTGTCTAGTTGTATTTACAATATTGTATAAAGCTCAACGATTTGTCGCTTGACTCAAAATGTATAACTTTGAATTACCGGTATGTGTATACGCGACTTAATTGATTAAATTGCCCTGTTTCGTATACAAAGTTGCTTGTCGTTGTAAACCGCATCTATAGTATAAGAGCTTGTGAATATACTTCTAGTCAGACTTTGCACCCATTAGGTATTTCCTTGTTGACATTGTTTCAGAAAGTTTATTACATATTTCAAATCATTGTCTATGGAAGCTATAGTTATCTGAATTTCCAAAAATTAGTAGTATAACCCCACAAATAATATACAATTTATTTATTAGATAAAATATTTTTTTACTTCTATTCATGTGATGTAATTTTGACGATTTATTCCTTACTTTTGTTAGTTATTTTTTCAGCTTTGTCCTTGTAACATTTAATATTTCTGTGAAGTTATTAAAATGAAGACAATTATAGTTTTTTTAACTTCCATTGTATTCATTTTAATGACTTTATAATGTTTCAATCGGTTTATACCTCGGATTGAAACGTTATGAAGCTCAAAAACGAAGACAATTGTAGGTTTCGAATTAACAACATTTGTTTTCCTTTTAGTATCCTCAGGATGTTTCAGTCGATTTGTATTTCCAATTTAAACGTTGTGAAGTTACTAAAATGAAGACAATTACAGTTTTTCAACTTCTGTTGTCTTCATTTTAGTAACTTCACAATGTTTCAATCGGTTTTGTTTATAGTGGCTTTTTATCTTCGATTAAAACGTTGTGAAGTTACTAAATTGAAGACAATTACAGTTTTTCAACTTCTATTATCTTCATTTTAGTATCTTCACAATGTTTCAATCGGTTCATACGTTATGAAGCCCAAAACGAATACATTTATAGGTTTCTAACTACATGTCTTTTCTTTATAGTGGCTTTTTATCTTCGATTAAAACGCTGTGAAGTTACTAAATTGAAGACAGTTACAGTTTTTCAACTTCTGTCTTCATTTTAGTATTTTCACAATGTTTCAATCGGTTCATACGTTATGAAGCCCAAAACGAATACAATTTTAGGTTTCTTTGTGTTTTCGTTTTAGTGGCTTCACGATGTGTATCTTCGATTAAGACGTTGTGAAGCCCCTAAAATGTAGCTTTCTAAAGGTTTACGACATTTCAATTGATTTTATTTTTCTGAAGCTACTAAAGTGAAGACAAAATAATTTATAAACCAACAAAATAAGAACATCGACTTATATATAAGGCTTATATTTCTGTAAGCTTAATGGTTCCAGGGGTTGCGATAGAATATATCTGAGACGTCGAAGAAAAAATTATTTTGTCGCGACATATAAATATTAGAGAATGATCTAAAGAAATGATTGGCTCTTCGACTATTTTAATTTTTTGTCTGCAAAATTTGAGATGTAAATAATTTACGGTGTTTTCGTATATTCAAAATAAACGAGAAAAGTCCACGAGACGTCAATAGCACAAGCTGTTAGCTGAGGGGAAAGTCAACAACACGTATTTCATTTCAGAAGAAGTTTCAATTAAAAGCGGATAGAAATTTTATCAGGGACGGGTTCTTAAAAGGGCTATATTAAAACGACACTTATTTTTAATGAAATAGACTAACTGGATGTCAAAGTTGAAGGAATACTTTGTGCAAATTAATAATAATATTATGTAATTTTATTATACCTACAATTATTTAATTTTCTTTAATATTATGGGCAATTAAATAAAAAGATTTATTATAATGCAAGGATAACAAAATACATACTTTGACATTTTCTGTGTTTGTTTGTAAACGGTTAATATGAGATCAATTAAATTTATTATTATTAATATAATAATAAAGGTAAGAAAAACTCATAATACTAACTTATTTTCTTAAAGTATGAGTGCTTGGAAAAATATTACTCCGAGCCACTGGCGCAGACAGCCAAAGCAAAATTTAGTTTAAGACACATCTATGACTTTAATACATTGGCATTTCAATAGTCTTTTGAAGCTCTGTACCGGGTGTTCCATTGAGAGAGGTAGCCGACTATATTTCAGAAACTAATAATAGTACAGCTTTGGGGAAGAAATATTTTTAATAAAAACAGTCAAGGGGGAGTAATTGTAACGTCAAAACATAAAAATGTAATTTTCTCAAAAAGTAAAGTATATTAATAAATATTACTATTTTAATCTTTAATGTTTTCTGAACAAAAAAACTTTAGGTGTAATTTTTGTTAGTCATGAAATAGAGTGGTGGGGGAAGGTTAAACTTTAATTTGGAATCATAACTCCGGTTTGGCTTTACCGAATTTAGTGAACTTGGTTTCGTTTAGAAGAGCTTTTTCAGTCCCATTTTTAGCTTCATAAACTGTGGTTGCTTATGTTTTATGAACGCCGCTAGAGGGCGTTAAGTTAAAAACTGACAAATTTTTCGAAATTTATTTTATTAATTGTATTCCTTACTTGACATCCTTTAACAATTTTCTCTACAATAGAATTGCAATTTCACACAATTTATAGGCTGTATAAACTTCTTTTTTGTTAAAAACACGATGTTTTAAATCGTATATTTATTCAAATGAATTTATCATCTACGGCACTGTTTTTAACTTACCCGCTTCGTTACAAAAACGGAGTATATTATTTGCATCTTTTAAAAATTAATTGTTGCCTGTTTTATTGGCCTTTCTTTTAATAAAGGACTTTTCTTTTAAAGTCGAGCTCACAAAAAAAAAGTAATTTTTTTTTCTCCTTTTTGTAAAATGATGTACTTTATGTTTTTCATTTGTATAATTTACCGCTTTGAAGATTTAAATGTTCTCTCAGAAAAGGTGAAATAAGAATTTAAATTTTTTCTGAAACGAAGTTGCAAATTGCGTTTTCATATAAAGCTGTATATTTCTTTAATAGACTTAAAATTCCTAAAATGTATACAGGGTATGCTTAAATGGGAGATTACGATATTTTCAATTTTTTCAAAAGCAATACCTACCCTGTATGTTATATCCCCAAATTATAAGTAAATTTTCACTAGTAATACCACTAGAGGTCAAATTATTTCCGGAAATTTTTTCGAGCTCATGAATATTTTGAAAATTTCCCGAATCGCAGACGAGGGAAATTTTCTAAAAATATTCATGAGCGAGAAAAAATTTGCTGATATTAATTTGACCTCGCGTGGTATTCGGTAAGAAAATTCCACGCCGAATTATGGTTGAAAATTAAATATTTTTAAAATTTATTTTTCGTTTCTCAACAATGCAAATTATTTTCTCCAAGTCACCAGTGAAACAAAAAAGGTGTTGTCGCCTTGATTGTTGAGTTGTCATGGTAACTAAGTGAGACCCTAACCTCGAATATAATTTCAGTTTTGAAGTTGTCAAGCGGCCCGACGTAAAAAAATGTTTCGCTGCAATTATTTAGGCCTTCAAATTGCTTATTTCTACTCATTGTAGTTGCATGGGAATACCATTTGAAAATAGAAAATAGTATATTCTTTAATTTTACGTAAGTTTTGAATAACTACAAGTGGTAGAAAATTGTTTTTCTGCGTTTTTATTAACATGCGTTATGAGCGCTTTAAAATGGTATGAAATTCATAACCAGCGTCAGCAAGCATCAATCGTAGGAGGCTGTGATCATTGTATTTTGACAGTTCAAAACATTAAATAACTCGCGTTTTGTTGCGATAAAGAATATTGCACAGCAAGTAAAACCAACAAAATTACCTATTTGTTTAAAAATGAATCGATTTGAAAATCATACGCTATGCAAAATATGCGTGAAATTGTCTGATGTAATGATCAATCATTGCACCATGACTTACTCGGATTAATAGAGGATTGTGGCTCCAACTTGAAAAACGAAAATTTGTTCCGAATTGTTCACGAATATTTGCACCTAAACTACGCAAAATTCAAAGTGCTGAATGGGAAAAAGGTGAATAAATTAGTGTCTAAATATTATATATATTTTATTAGACATAGACACATAATTCAAAGCATCCAAAGTCCTGCATTTTCGCCATTAAGAAGAAAAGAAGTGCCCGAAGAATATAGAAAACACCTTAGCATTGTAACTAAAATGTATCAAAACTAAACCTATTATGTGAACAAATAAAAATGGTCTGTTATTGTAAACGTCAAAAAATTTCCAGTATAATTCG